CAACAAGCCTAGAGAGAACCAAGGACCCCTCATTTCAACCCTGAGCTACAGATATTCTCCTTTGTTAATCCTTTCAACCCTGAAGCACCTTGTAGGTGCTTCCAACACAAATGGAGTAGTAGTACAGTAGTAGTAGTAGTAATACCACTGCTTATCCTGTTGAGTCAATCCAACCTTTGTGGTTATATGCCATAGTGGATTAGGCTACTATTTTGTGCAAACGTATCGTGGCTTATTCATCAATTCAAAATTAATCAACACACAACAACTTTGTGCAGTGTGTGTAAACCAGGAGTGGGCTGCTGGGTGTTCACAGGGGTTCGGGAGAGCCTCTACCTAAGATTCTATGCCGTTCAGAGAACCCCCAAATCCCACTCCTAGCTGGCTCAGCCCACCCCTCCCCTCGCAGAAGTCTCCACGCAGCCCGTTTAGGACACAGTTAAGTCCTGGGCACACGCAGAGGCTCGAGCAGGGAGAAAAACGGGCCTACTTGAAGTTCAGGAAGGCCAGAAAGAGGCCCCTTTCCAGCCTCCAGAGCCTGGGGAGGCTGTTTTCGCCTTCCCGGAGGCTTGAAGAAAGCCTCCGGAACCTAGGGAGGGCAAAAATGCTCCCTCCCTGGCCGTGGTGCAGGAGGCCGATTAGGCCATGCCCACCATAGCCACACCCTCCCAGCAACCCGTCAGAGAACCTTGCTACAATTTTTGAAGCCCACCCCTGGTGTAAATCAGACGATAAGCCGGGAACTTTCCCGGAGGAACTTTCTATTTCAAAAATTCTACCTCACAGATTGCAGGGGGATATATAACCATGGCAGGGAATAAATGAATGCTGTCTTGAACTGCAGAAGCAAAGGCAGCACCAAACTTTAACAGAACAGAAGATAATCATGAGGTGGGAATGAAATGTCAAGAAAGTGTTTGACAATCTTCTTGAGGTCTCACCTTGCACCATCCCTGCAAGGTAGACTCTGCTATTGTTCTCATGGTTCCCCCACCCTTCTCTGCATGCTCCTGTTTTTAGGCTACAGTGGTTGGTTGAATCTCACGGAAATAGACCCTGATGAGGAAGTGCAAGGAGAAATCCACCTGCAGATCGAGATCATCGGCAACGGTGCTGCAAGGAAGTTGCGCTGCGTGGTGTTCGATGCCAGGTAAAAATGGGGGCCCAGGAAAGAAAGGAGGGTCTTGCAAGGAGACAGTACTGAGAATGTTTCACTCATTGGAGAAAGCAGAGGAAGGAGGGAAAAGAAGATGAGGCCAAAACTTCAAGTAACTCCAGTAGAATAGAATAACAGAGTTGGAAGGGATCTTGGAGGTCTTCTAGTCCAACCCCCTGCTTAGGCAGGAAACCCTACATCGGTTCAGACAAATGGCTCTCCAACATCTTCTTAAAGACTTCCAGTGTTGGAGCATTCACAATTTCTGGAGGCAATTTGTTCCACTGACTAATTGTTCTCACTGTCAGGAAATTT